TGGGCTCCGTGGTGCTCAAGGAGGCTCTGGCTCGTGCCTCCATGTCCCCGAACGACGTGGGGGAGGTGATCCTGGGACAGGTACTCACAGCCGGTAAGACGCAGAGACAACAACAACAACAACCGCCATTCACCACTAAGTGGCGGTGACGTCACCACGACGCTTGTGCCAGGCCATGTGCACCTTGAGGCCACGTGAAGTGTCGAACGCCCGCTGGCAGGAGGTCACGGGGCAGACCCAGCAGGTGCCACGGGTCGACTGACTGAGATGACTGAGATGACCGAGATGACTGAGATGACTGGCTGATGCACCACCTGTGCCCCCCTACTGTGCCAGACACTCACACACACACACCCAACTCACTGCCACACACTCGCTCACTCTCTCATACACTCAAACACTCGCTCACTCGCTCGCTCACCCACTCGCTCACCCACTCAAACACTCTCTCATACAATCAAACACTCGCTCACTCGCTCACCCACTCGCTCACTCTCTCACCCACTCGCTCACTCGCTCACCCACTCGCTCACTGTCTCATACACTCAAACACTCGCTCACTCACACACTCACACACTCGCTCAAACACTCACACTCACTCACACTCACTCACTCACTAACTCGCTCACACACTCGAACACTCGCTCATACACTCGCTCAACCACTCGCTCACTCGCTCACCCACTCGCTCACTCTCTCATACACTCTCCCCACTCGCTCACTGTCTCATACACTCAAACACGCTCACACACTCGCTCAAACACTCACACTCACTCACACTCACTCACACACCCACTCGCTCACACAACAACAACAACCGCCATTCGCCACTAAGTGGCGGTGACGTCACCACGACGCTTGTGCCAGGCCATGTGCACCTTGAGGCTGCCACGTGAAGTGTCGAACGCCCGCTGACAAGAGGTCACGGGGCAGACCCAGCAGGTGCCACGGGTCGACTGACTGAGATGACTGAGATGACCGAGATGACCGAGATGACTAGCTGATGCACCACCTGTGCCCCCCTACTGTGCCAGACACTCACACACACACACCCAACTCACTGCCACACACTCGCTCACTTTCTCATACACTCAAACACTCGCTCACTCGCCCAACCACTCGTTCACTCGCTCACCCACTCGCTCACTCTCTCATACACTCAAACACGCTCACTCACACACTCACACACTCGCTCAAACACTCACACTCACTCACACTCACTCACACACCCACTCGCTCACACAACAACAACAACCACCATTTGCCACTAAGTGGCGGTGACGTCACCACGACGCTTGTGCCAGGCCAAGTGCACCTTGAGGCCACGTGAAGTGTCGAATGCCCGCTGACAGGAGGTCACGGGGCAGACCCAGCAGGTGCCACGGGTCGACTGACTGAGATGACCGAGATGACTGGCTGATGCACCACCTGTGCCCCCTACTGTGCCAGACACTCACACACACCCAACTCACTGCCACACACTCGCTCACTCTCTCATACACTCACTCACACACTCACCCACTCGCTCAAACACTCCCTCACCCACTCGTTCACACACACACTCGTTCAAACACTCACTCGCACACTCTCTCACACACTCAAACACTCACTCACCCACTCGTTCACACACTCGCTCAAGCACTCACTCACCCACTCACTCACTTACCCACCCACTCGCTCACACACTCGCTCACTCTCTCATACACTAGAACACTCGCTCACTCACCCACTCACCCACCCACTCACTCACACTCACCCACTCACCCACCCACTCACTCACACACTCAACCACTCGCTCACACTCGCTCACTCTCTCATACACTTGAACACTCGCTCACTCACACACCCACTCGCTCACACACTCGCTCGCTCACTCACACACTCACCTACCCACCCACTCACTCGCACACTCAACCACTCGCTCACACTCGCTCACTCTCTCATACACTTGAACACTCGCCCACTCGCTCACCCGCTCGCCCGCTCGCTCGCCCGCTCTCTCACTCGCTCGCTCGCCTACTTACTCCCTCTCACCCTTTCTCCCCGCGTGTGTCTCTCCGTGTGTCTCCCTGTCTCACCGTGTGTCTCCCTGTCTCTCTCCCCGTGTGTGTCTCCCTGTCTCTCTCCCCGTGTGTGTCTCCCCGTGTCTCCAGGCCAGGGACAGAACCCGGCTAGGCGTGCGAGTCTGTCCGCGGGTCTCCCTGTCTCCGTCCCCGTGTGGGGACTCAACATGCCGTGTGTCTCCCTGTCTCACTCTTTCTCCCCGCGTGTGTCTCCCTGTCTCTCTCTCCGCGTGTCTCCCTGTCTCTCTCTCTCTCTCTCTCCGCGTGTGTCTCCCTGTCTCTCTCTCTCCGTGTGTCTCCCTGTCTCACCGTGTGTCTCCCTGTCTCTCTCTCCGCGTGTCTCCCTGTCTCTCTCCCCGCGTGTGTCTCCCTGTCTCTCTCTCTCTCTCTCTCCGCATGTCTCCCTGTCTCACCGTGTGTCTCCCTGTCTCACTCTCTCTCCCCGTGTGTGTCTCCCCGTGTCTCCAGGCCAGGGACAGAACCCGGCTAGGCGTGCGAGTCTGTCCGCGGGTCTCCCTGTCTCTGTCCCCGCGTGGGGACTCAACATGCTGTGTGGCTCCGGTCTCCGCGCCGTCTGCCTGGGGGCCCAGGCCGTGAGGCAGCGGGACGTGGACATCGTCCTGGCCGGGGGGCAGGAGAGCATGAGCCAGGTGACTGTCTCCACACGCGTGTGTCTCCGTGTGTCTCCACGTGTGTCTCTGTGTGTGTGTCTCCACGTGTCTCTGTGTGTGTCACTGTGTGTGTCTCTGTGTGTGTGTCTCCACGTGTCACTGTGTGTGTCACTGTGTGTGTCTCTGTGTGTGTCTCCACGTGTGTGTCTGTGTGTGTGTGTCTCCACGTGTCTCTGTGTGTGTCTGTGTGTGTGTGTCTGTGTGTGTCTCCACGTGTGTCTCCGTGTGTCTCTGCGTGTGTCTCCACGCATGGCTTTGTGTGTGTCTCTGTGTGTCTCCGTGTGTCTCCGTGTGTCTCCGTGTGAGTCTCTGTGTGTCTCCGTGTGAGTCTCTGTGTGTCTCCGTGTGTCTCTCTGTGTGTCTCCACGTGTGCCTGTGTGTCTCCACGCGTGTCTCCACGTGTGTCTCTGTGTCTCCATGTGTCTCTGCGCGTGTCTCCGCGCCTGTGCGTGTGTCACCCTGGGGTAACGCGTGTGTGTGTGCGTGTGTGTCTGCGTGTGTGCGTGCGTGTGTGCGTGCGTGTGTGCGTGTGCGTGTGTGCGCGTGTGTGCGTGTGTGTGTGTGCGTGTGTGTGTGCGTGTGTGTGTGTGTGCGTGCGTGTGTGTGTGTGTGCGTGCGTGTGTGTGGTGCGTGTGTGCGTGTGTGTGTGCGTGCGTGCGTGTGTGTCTGTGTGTGTGTGTGCGTGTGTGTGTGCGTGTGTGCGTGTGTGTGTGCGTGTGTGCGTGTGTGTGTGCGTGTGTGCGTGTGTGTGCGTGTGTGTGTGTCTCCCCGTAGGCCCCCCATGCTGTGTACGTGAGGGCGGGGGTGAAGATGGGAGACGCCACGATGGTTGACACCATGACACACGACGGCCTCATAGACTCCACCCTGCACTACCACATGGGAGTGACCGGTAACACCACCACTACCACCACCACCACCAACACCACCACCAACACCACCACCACTACCACCACTACCAGACAACCACCACCACTACCAGACCACCACCAACACCACCACCACCACTACCACCACTACCAAACAACCACCACCACCACCAGCACCACTACCACCACTACCAGACCACCACCACCACTACCAGAACACCACCACTACCACCAGACCACTACCAGATAACCACCACAACCACCACTCACAACAACAACAACCGCCATTTGCCACTAAGTGACGGAAACGTCACCACGACGCTTGTGCCAGGCCAGGTGCACCTTGAGGCCACGTGACGTGTCAAACGCCTGCTGGCAGGAGGTCACGGGACAGACACAGCAGGTGCCATGGGTTAACTGACTGAGACGACTGGCTGATGCACCACCTGTGCCCCCTACTGTACTAACTTGCTGTGCTTTAGCCACCCGGCGCTCCGCTCGTTGTGAGCGTCGCTCCTCCGCCCTCCGTTGTTGTTGGAGGGCGACTGCCTCCAACTGCCCAGTAGCGTTCTTCACGAGCCTCCTCCACAGAGGCCGATCTTGACACCGCTGGTACCAGTCATCGGCAAGTCCACTCAGCTCCACGTCCTCCTGTACCACATCACTCCATCTCTTCTCTAGCATCACTCCACACGCAGAAGCACTCTGTCTCTCTCTCTCTCTCACCCCGTGTCTCTCTCTCCCCGTGTCTCTCTCTCCGTGTCTCTCTCCCCCCGTGTCTCTCTCTCCCCCCGTGTCTCTCTCCCCGTGTGTCTCTCTCTCCCCGTGTCTCTCTCTCCCCCCGTGTCTCTCTCTCACCGTGTGTCTCTGTGTGTCTGCGTGTGTCTCTGTGTGTCTCTGTGTGTCTCTGTGTGTCTCTGTGTGTCCGCGTGTAGCGGAGAACGTGGCGAAGCAGTTCTCGGTGTCTCGCCGTGACCAGGACGACTTTGCGGCGCTGTCCCAGGCGCGCACCGCGGCCTCCGTGCAATCCGGAGCCTTTACGCGGGAGATCGCCCCCGTGTCTGTCGTCACGCGCAAGGGTGAGACACGGGGACACTGGGACACTGAGACACGGGGACACGGAGACACGGGGACACGGAGACAGGGAGACACACAGACACGGAGACACGGAGATACGGGGACACGGAGACACAGGGACACGGGGACACTGGGACACTGGGACACTGGGACACGGGGACACTGGGACACTGAGACATAGGGACACTGGGACACGGGGACACGGGGACACTGGGACACTGAGACACAGGGACACTGGGACACTGAGACACTGGGACATGGGGACACTGATACACTGGGACACGGGGACACTGGGACACGGGGACACTGAGACATAGGGACACTGGGACACTGAGACACTGGGACATGGGGACACTGATACACTGGGACACGGGGACACTGGGACACGGGGACACTGGGACACTGGGACACGGGGACACGGGGACACTGGGACACTGAGACACTGGGACATGGGGACACTGATACACTGGGACACGGGGACACTGGGACAAGGGGACACTGGGACACTGGGACATGGGGACACTGATACACTGGGACACTGGGACACGGAGCCACGGGGACACTGGGACACTGGGACACGGGGACACTGGGACACTGGGACACGGAGACACACGGAGACACGGGGACACAGAGACACACGGAGAGACACGGGGACACTGGGACACTGAGACACAGGGACACTGGGACACTGAGACACTGGGACATGGGGACACTGATACACTGGGACACGGGGACACTGGGACACGGGGACACTGGGACACTGGGACACTGGGACACTGGGACACGGGGACACTGGGACATGGGGACACTGATACACTGGGACACTGGGACACGGAGACACACGGAGACACGGGGACACTGGGACACTGGGACACGGGGACACTGGGACACTGGGACTTGGAGACACACGGAGACACGGGGACACAGACACACGGAGAGACACGGGGACACTGGGACACGGGGACACGGAGACACACGGAGACACACGGAGACACACGGAGACACACGGAGAGACACGGAGAGACACGGAGACACGGAGACACAACCGTGGCTAATCGGAGGTGTGGGGGTAAGGACAACAACAACAAACTAAACAACAACAACAACAAACTAAACAACAACAACAAACTAAACAGCAACAACAACAAGGAGCAGCTCTACAGAGATGAGTTTGTCAATGGAGATGATGAAGAGCGTTCCAGACGGCCGCAGAAGAAGCAGCGCAATTTAAAGCACCGCACAAAGTGTAGAGTAGTGTGTAGTGTATAGTAGTGTAGTGTGTAGTGTAGTGTGTAGTGTAGTGTAGTGTGTAGTGTATAGTGTAGTGTATAGTGTAGTGTGTAGTGTGTAGTGTAGTGTATAATGTAGTGTATAGTGTAATGTGTATCCCTGTCTCCCCGTCTCTGTCTCTCTGTGCGTGTTTCTCTGTCTCCCCGTCTCTCTGTGAGTGTCTGTGTCTCTCTCTCTGTGTCTCTTGTGTGCGTGTCTCTGTGTGTGTGTCTCTGTGTGTGTCCCTGTGTGTGTGTCTCTGTGTGTGTGTCTCTGTGTGTGTGTCTCTGTGTGCATGTCCCTGTGTGTGTGTGTCTCTGTGTGCGTGTCCCTGTGTGTGTGTGTGTGTCTCTGTGTGTGTGTCTCTGTGTGTGTGTTTCTCTCTGTGTGTGTTTCTCTCTGTGTGTGTGTTTCTCTCTGTGTCCCTGTGTGTGTGTTTTTCTGTGTGTGTCCCTGTGTGTCTGTGTATGTGTGTGTCTCTGTGCATGTCTAGGGGAGGTTGTCGTGACTCAGGATGAGTTTCCACGGCCTGGGACGACGGTTGAGAGTCTGGGACGACTCAAGCCGTGCTTCGTCACGGACGGAAGCGGCACCGTGACCGCCGGGAACTCATCCGGTACACGACAGACACGGGGAGAGAGAGAGACACGGGGAGAGAGACACGGGGAGAGAGACACGGGGGAGAGAGACACGGGGGAGAGAGACACGGGGGAGAGAGACACGGGGAGAGAGACACGGGGAGAGAGAGACACGGGGAGAGAGAGACACGGGGAGAGAGACACGGGGAGAGAGAGACACGGGGGAGAGAGGACACGGGGAGAGAGAGACACGGGGAGAGAGAGACACGGGGAGAGAGCGACACGGGGAGAGAGAGACACGGGGAGAGAGAGACACGGGGAGAGAGAGACGCCGGGAGAGAGAGACGCGGGGAGAGAGAGACGCGGGGAGAGAGAGACACGGAGAGAGAGACACGGGGAGAGAGAGACACGGGGAGAGAGAGACGGGGGGAGAGACATGGAGGGAGAGAGACACGGGGAGAGAGAGACGGGGAGAGACACGGGGAGAGAGAGACACGGGGAGAGAGAGAGACACGGGGGAGAGAGACACGGGGAGAGAGAGAGAGAGAGACACGGGGGTGAGAGACACGGGGAGAGAGAGAGAGAGAGAGACACGGGGGTGAGAGACACGGGGGAGAGAGACACGGGGAGAGAGACACGGGGAGAGAGAGACACGGGGAGAGAGAGAGAGAGACACGGGGGAGAGAGACACGGGGGAGAGAGACACGGGGGAGAGACACGGGGAGAGAGAGACGCGGGGAGAGACACGGGGAGAGAGAGACACGGGGAGAGAGAGACGGGGGGAGAGACATGGGGGGAGAGAGACATGGGGGGAGAGAGACACGGGGAGAGAGAGACGGGGAGAGACACAGGGAGAGAGAGACACGGGGAGAGAGAGAGACACGGGGGAGAGAGACACGGGGAGAGAGGGAGAGAGACACGGGGGTGAGAGACACGGGGGAGAGAGACACAGTGGATGTGGTTGTATAGTAGTAGTGGTTGTAGTATAGTTATAGTGGTGGCTGTATAGTTATTTTTATAGTTGTGGTGGTTGTGGTAGTGGTGGTTGTTGTACCGTAGTGGTTGTGGTGGTTGTTGTAGCCTAGTGGTTGTGGTAGTTGTGGTAGTGGTGGTTGTGGTGGTTGTTGTACTGTGGTGGTTGTGGTGGTTGTAGTGTTTGTGGTGGTTGTAGTGTTTGTGGTGGTTGTGGTGGTGGTTGTGGTGGTTGTGGTGGTGGTTGTTGTACCGTGGTGGTTGTAGTGATTGTGGTGGTGGTGGTTGTGGTGGTGGTTGTGTTGGTTGTTGTACCGTGGTGGTGGTTGTGGTGGTGGTTGTACCGTGGTGGTTGTGGTGGTTGTGGTGGTTGTGGTGGTGGTTGTGGTGGTTGTGGTGGTGGTTTTGGTGGTTGTAGTGGTTGTGGTGGTTGTGTTGGTTGTTGTACCGTGGTGGTTGTGGTTGTGGTGGTGGTGGTTGTTGTACCGTGGTGGTTGTGGTGGTGGTTGTGGTGGTTGTAGTGATTGTGGTTGTGGTGGTGATTGTGGTGGTTGTGGTGGTGGTTGTGGTGGTGGTGGTGGTGGTTGTAGGAGTGAACGACGGTGCTGCTGCCGTCTTGTTGATGACGGAGAGCGAGGCCCAGTCGCGGGGCCTGAAGCCTCTGGCTCGCCTGGTCTCCTGGGCGCAGGCCGGAGTGGAGCCGAGCATCATGGGAACAGGGCCCATCCCAGCCACAACCAAAGCGGTGAGGCAGCCACAACCACAACAACCATCACAACCACAATCACAACCACAGCCACCATCACAACCACAATCACAACCACCATCACAACCACCATCACAACCACAACACAACAACTACAACCACTATCACAACCACCACCACAACCACCATCACAACCACCATCACAACCACCAACACAACCACCGTCACAACCACCATCACAACCACCTCCACACCATCACAACCACAACACAGCAACCACAACCACCATCACAACCACAACCACCATCACAACCACACCATCACAACCACCATCACAACCACAACCACAACACAGCAACCACAACCACCATCACAACCACCATCACAACCACCATCACAACCACAACCACAACACAGCAACCACCATCACAACAACACCGTCACAACCACCATAATTGTTGATGTTGTGGTTGTTTAGCTGTTGTTGTGGTTGATATGGTGGTTGTTGTTGTTGTTATTGTTGTTGATGTTGTTGATGTTGTGGTTATTGTTGTTGATGTGGTGGTTGTTGTTGTGGTTATTGTTGTTGACGTTGTTGATGTTGTGGTTATTGTTGTTGATGTTGTGGTGGTTGTTGTTGTGGTTATTGTTGTTGATGTTGTTGATGTTGTGGTTATTGTTGTTGATGTTGTGGTTGATGTTGTTGTTGATATTGTGGTTGATGTGGTGGTTATTGTTGATGTTGTTGATGTTGTGGTTGTGGTTATTGTTGTTGATGTTGTTGTTGATGTTGTGGTGGTTATTGTTGTTGATGTTGTGGTTATTGTTGTTGTTGTGTAGCTAGCGAAGGCTGGCTGGTCTGTGCAGGACGTGGATCTGTTTGAGCTGAACGAGGCGTTCGCGGCTCAGTCGCTGGCCGTGATCCGCAAGCTGGGACTCAACACGGAGAAAGTGAGACACACGGAGACACACACACAGAGACACAGAGACACACACACGGAGACACACAGAGACACACACACAGAGACAGAGACACACACACGGAGACACACAGAGACAGACAGACAGAGACACACGGAGACACGGAGAGAGACACAGAGAGAGAGAGACGGAGACACGGAGAGAGACACGGAGAGAGACACGGAGAGAGACACGGAGAGAGACACAGAGAGAGACAGACACGGAGAGAGACACAGAGAGAGAGAAACGGAGACACGGACAGAGACACACAGACAGAGACGTACATGGACACAGAGAGAGACACACAAAGACAGACAGACGGAGACACATAGAGACACGGACAGAGACACAGAGAGAGACACGGAGACACACGGAGACACACAGAGACACAGAGAGACACACAGACAGAGACGCAGATGGACACAGAGAGAGAGAGACGTGGGGACGTGGAGACACAGAGACACACACAGACACACACAGAGATACAGATACGTGGGATGCGTCGGGACGCTGAGACAGGGGGACGTGGAGGCAGAGGGACGCGGAAAGACAATGGAAAGAGACAGGGACTGTCACCCTGTGTGTCTCCGTGTCTCCGTGTGTGTCTCCCTGTGTGTCTCCCCATGTCTCGCATTGGTTCCATTGATTAGTGGTGAGACGTTGACTACCTCACCTGGTACACAGGAGGTCGTGGGTTTGATCCCGACCCGGACGCCTGCTGCTGCTGCTGCTGTATAGTTAGAGTTTGAGTCTCTCTCTCACCCCGTGTTTCTCCCCGTGTCTCTTTCTCTCCCCGTGTCTCTCTCCCCGTGTCTCTCTCCCCCCGTGTCTCTCCCCCCGTGTCTCTCTCCCCGTGTCTCTCTCCCCGTGTCTCTCTCCCCGTGTCTCTCTCCCCGTGTCTCTCTCCCCGTGTCTCTCTCCCCGTGTCTCTCTCCCCGTGTCTCTGTCCCCGTGTCTCTCTCCCCGTGTCTCTCTCCCCGTGTCTCTCTCCCCGTGTCTCTCTCCCCGTGTCTCTCTCCCCGTGTCTCTCTCCCCGTGTCTCTCTCCCCGTGTCTCTCTCCCCGTGTCTCTGCAGGTGAACGTGAGAGGCGGTGCGCTGGCTCTGGGTCACCCAATCGGTGCGTCTGGGTGCCGCGTGTTGGTGTCGCTTCTCCACTCGCTGAGGGACACGGGCGGTGCCCGGGGGGTGGCGGCGCTGTGCGTGGGCGGTGGCATGGGCATCGCGGCGTGCGTGGAGACGGTGGAGACGGCCTGAGACACACACACACCACACACCACCACACGCACCACCACACGCACCACCACACATGCACCACCACACATGCACCACCACACACGCACCACCACACACGCACACACACGCACCACCACACACGCACCACCACACACACACTACCACACCACACACACAACAACAACCGCCATTCGCCACTAAGTGGCGGTGACGTCACCACGACGCTTGTGCCAGGCCAAATGCACCTTGAGGCCACGTGAAGTGTTGAACGCCCGCTGGCAGGTCACGGGGCAGACCCAGCAGGTGCCACGGGTCGACTGACCGAGATGACCGAGATGACTGGCTGATGCACCACCTGTGCCCCCTACTGTACCAACTTGCTGTGCTTTAGCCACCCGGCGCTCCGCTCGTTGTTGTGAGCGTCGCTCCTCCGCCCTCCGTTGTTGGAGGGCGACTGCCTCCAACTGCCCAGTAGCGTCCTTCACGAGCCTCCTCCACAGAGGCCGATCTTGACACCGCTGGTACCAGTCATCGGCAAGTCCACTCAGCTCCACGTACCTGTACCACATCTCTCCATCTCTTCTCTAGCCCGTGCCGCCTCCGTTTAGCCCCCTCGATCCGGCCGAACAAAAGCTGTTTAGGCATGCGGTGGCTGGGCATGCGGGCTACATGACCCAGCCAACGCAGCCTTGCCTGCCGGAGGAGCTCACCAATGGGACTTTCTCCAGATCAGTGAGCACCTATCTAATTATCTAATAAGCACTACCACACACACACTACCACACACATGCACCACCACACACACGCACCACCACACACACATGCACCACCACACACATGCACCACCACACATGCACCACCACACACGCACCACCACACACACGCATGCACTCGCACACACACAACATGCCCACACGCCTTACCCTACCTTTATCGTACATTTATCTAGCGCCCTAACCAAGGCGCTGTACAGTGAACTTACGATGGCACAAGGCGAGATGAGACGAGCCGATGGGATATCTGTTAAATGTGGTGGTGGCGGTGGTGGTGGTGGCGGCGATGCGTGGAATAAACGGAGGTGGGAATGAGACGGAGCGGATTGATGCCTGGCGGCCGTGGGGAGTTTGGTGTCGGGGGGGGGGAGGCGTCGTGAGTGCGAGTTGGAGAAGGAGGGGGGGTGGGCAAGAGAGAATAAGTTGTGGGGGGGGGGGGGGGATTGAAGTGCCACGGGCAGTGGGTCACAGTGAAGAGGAGCTAGGAGAGAGGAACGAGTGTGGATGGAGGAACGGAAAGGGATCGGAAACGATTTCGAACGCAGAGGGGCGGTGAAGGCAATGTCAAGTCGGGCTGAACGATTAATCGAAATTTGAAGCAATGCGATTAGCAAATAGCAAAGGTTGCAATTTGTTGAGATTTAGAAGTCCTTTTTTTGGAATTGTTTTATTTTGTATTATTATAACTTGATTTATTTAACTTAACAATTCTTCTATGTTTGATTATCCTATTTCAAATACTTTTTTTTTATAAATAAATGTTGGAAGCAATTCATACATTTCAAGTTGTCAGCCTTGCTTTAGAATATTTTGAGCGGTTCATATTTTGATGGTATCACGTGGTAATGCTCCATCACATGTTTTAAATCTATTACACAGTGAATATTGAACTGAAGCTTGACTTTTATAAATGTAGTCGCAAATCAAATCACAATATCTGTCAGACAAATCGCAATGAGACTTTTTTTCCCCAAATCGTTCAGCCCCCAATGTAAAGTGAGACGAGAGGTGAGAGTTGGGCCGTGGAGAGATTCATAAACTAAGCTACAAGGATTCATTTTGGTTCTTTCGGTAAAGTCACGTAGAATGGAAATAAAAAACGTGATAAAATAATTCTCACGATGTTTCGGCCACAACGCAAGCAGCCGTCCTCAGGTGGAGAACAGGCCTGTTCTCCACCTAAGGACGGCTGCTTGCGTTGTGGCCGAAACGTCGTGAGAATTATTTTATTATGTTTTATTTTTATTATTTTATTATTTCCATTCTATGTGACTTTACCGAAAGAACGAAGAAGATGAATCCCTGCAGTCATGAAAGCGTTAAATCGAAATTTAAGCTACAAGGAATTTAAAAGATGATAGACGTGGAGCCAGTGGGTGTAGCTGAACGAGGAGGGGGTTTTAAAGATGATCCGGGCAGTGGAATTTGGAATCTGTTGGGAGTGCTTTGAACGTGTAGGACGGTAGACCGACCGTGAGAGAACTGCAATAGTCGATTCGAGTAAAGGCCAGGGGGCGAATCAGGTTTTTTGGTGGCAGTGATTGTGGTGAAACGGCGGATTTTACAAATACGAAGGTGAAAACGGCAGGAATGAGTAGTGGCGGTTGTGTCGTCAAATAGGGAGGAGAGTGATGCGTCGAAGACTTCACCGAGGTTGCGGACAGACTACCGGAGTAATAGAGAATGGGCGAAAGGAGATGGTGGGACATGGTGGATGAGAACGTGAAGCTGGGAAGAAAGGATTTGTGTGTGTGTGTTTTCGTTTAAAGGGTTGATGGAGAGAAAGTGTTGGGTCATCCAAGACTGGACGGTGATGAGATGAGAGGAACTGCGCAGAGCAAAATCTGGAGTGGGGGAGGAGGGGAACGAGAAAAAGAAAGAAGAAAAATTGAAAAAGTAAATAAAAGAAGATAGAAAAAAAGAGAAAGAATAGAGAATAAAAAAGCAACGTGTGGCTTCAGAAAAGAAATTACGTGGGGAGATTGAACGATGAGAGGTGGGATTCAAGTCGAGATCGATAAAGAGACTCGCTTTCCTACCCGGCTTCGCCCGGGACTTAGATTCACCACGCCCGGCCGCCTTTGTCTCCCCAGTGGCGATGTTCACACACCACACCAGTTACTCGTTTGAGCGCAGCGGCGCGCTAACCACTACACTACACCGCGTTACGCTTCCACATGCGCGGGTCACGTGACAGATGTGACGTCACAGCTCACTTGCCGTGCAAAAAATATATTAATTATTGAGCTCCCCACCCCCCCCCCCCCCCAAAAAAACACAAGTGTATTTTTATATTTTGTGCAAGGTGTACAGTCTGGAAAGTACCCACATGGCAAATTTCAAGTTTGTTGCATGTCGGAAAGTACATGAAACATTTTGAACAAACACATTCACAACTTTGCCTTTTATATATAAAAGAGATTAATGCAAAGGGGGCTGATGACAGAACCTTGGGGGACATTGACGGGTGAAGGGGGAGGGGTAACGTGGTCGAATAAGAGAGCCGAAGTGCGCTAGGACAGATAGGACTGGACCCAAGAAAGAGTGGTTGCCCAAGATGCCGAGAGAAGAAAGGGCAGAATAGGTCGGTCAATTCATCCTAATGGCGGTACCCCGGGATATAACAAAATACAAAATCTTCTTGGTTCTTTCGGTAAAGTCACGTAGAATGGAAATAATAAAAATACAACATTATAAAATTATATAATAGAATTATTGTTATTATTTTATTATTTCCATTCTATGTGATTTTACCGAAAGAACCAAGAAGATGAATCCCTGCAGTCACGAAAGCTTTAAATCGAAAAATACAAAATGGCCGAATAATACAAAATGGCCGAAATCAGTGCTACTCTGCGATGTCGTAACGCAGCGAGGACGATTGCACCGAAACCCTGAACGATCATCATATACACCGTAGTGGTGCATCGTAGTGTACAGCTCGTCGAGATGAGTTGATTGCCGCATCGTCGGCCATCGACAGACTAAAAATAAGTAATATTTTTAAAAAAACTTTGTTTTTAAACACGCTTTTAAGAAATGTACGAGTAATGGAAGAACTCCAGGAAGTGGCCCCGAAGCTTGCCGTAACGTAAGGGACAGTGGCCAATTACAGCCAACGTCAGTTGTGCGTGGACAATTAGACCCATACCAAAACATAACGTATAAAAAAGATTGTTTAATTTTTGTAATGATAGAATATAGTATTGTCATCAGTATGACATAAGTATACCAAGTTTGCACTCGATACCACATTGGGAAGTGGGTTAAAATTGAGTTACAAGATTTGAGGCTACAACAACAACAACAGAGTTAAAAGAAAGCGTGTAAAAAACCACAGCGACAAACTCCGCCACACCAAACACAAGCATCCACCCGGACACCGAACACGGACCAGTGATGCAAGCGGGCCAGGATGAGCACAAGCTGATGATGATACACACGAACCAGCGTCAGATCCGAAGTTATGTAGACGGGACCGTAGCGGTCGCAGCCCAGACGTCGCCTTGCACGCCGATCAAACCCCGGCAGGTTCTGCGTCTCTCTCTCTCTGTCCCACTCATCGTCGTCGAGTGGATTTTTCTCCGGGTCCTCCAGCTTTTTTCCCTCCACATTTAGAATTAACGTCACAACGCGTTTTAGAGTTTTTCTGGCTGCCGCTATGAATGTCATACTTTTTGGTTCGTTTGGTAAAGTCACGAGGTATAAAATAAATAAAATCACGACGTTTCGGGCGCAACACAAGCGTCCGTCGTCAGGTGGGACAACCACAGCAAAAACAATTGCTGAAGTGGGCAAAAGGGCTGCCGTGACAAGAGGCTATATAGGTATGAGAGGGGGGAGCCAACGGGGAGAGAGAGAGGGGGGAGGGGCCAGGGGGAGAGACAGAGAGGGGGGAGGGGCCAGGGGGAGAGACAGAGAGGGGGGAGGGGCCAGGGGGAGAGACAGAGAGGGGGGTGTGGGGTAGGGGAGTGAGTGAGGCATTGCTAGAGGGATGAGGAAATGAGCGAAGAAAAAGTGAGAGGGGAGAGGAGTCATCTTTTGTGAGAGCCGGGCCGCTTCTGAGAAAGTAGTCCAGTGGTACCTCGGTATACGACCGCTTTAAAAATACGTCGAATTTGGTAGACGTCGTGTTTTGACGAGAAAAACATTTCTTGGGATACAACATCTTTGCTTGCCGGAACAGTATTGTGTGGAATGACCAGACAATGTCACACTTCAGGAACATTCTTAGAAGGCAAAAACAAACTTCAATGGACAGATTTTTAGTCAAACCAGAGTGCCATGACCTCACGCGACCATCGTTCGGTTGGCACCCACACACCCTGTCCTGTAGGGCCAGCACTGCACTTACAGCCTGGAGCCATCCAGCGCTATGATCCAGCGCACGCCGTGCCCCTATAGGGCCGGTACTACACCGACACCAGCGCACACCGTGCCCCTATAGGGCCGGTACTACACCGACACCATTGTGGTATCCGCCGACTTCGCGACACCTCACGCCGTGCCCCTATAGGGCCGGTACTGCACCCACAGCCTGTTGACATCATCCAGCGATGTCACTACACAAGAGTAATATGAGGATGCACCTGGGGGGTAACTGGGCGATGGTGATTGGCTCTGCTGGCCTCAGCCCGCAGCCAATGGGACGTCGAGCCAGGGGCGTGGCCTGTGGCTGCATAGCAACATCTGGAAGGTTCCAGGGGGTGAGGCTGATGATTGGCTGCGTGGTATCACGTGGGCCAGGTGTTATAAGGGGTGTGAGGAGAGACAGCTCCGGGTCAGTGTGGAGAGGGGCTGAGGAGGGACCACGTCTGTGTCACCGGCACGTCAGCGGCCACGTGGCAGGCCGGAGGCCGTCTCTCAGAGGTCGCAACCGGGTACCCGATATCCGTACCCTACCCGATACCCGGCCAGGTACTGGTAGCCGGGTATCGGGTAGGGTACGGGTACCTGATTGCGACCTCTGGGATGAAGCCATGTTGCAGGCGTGGGTGGGTTGATTCTAGGAACTTGAATTGTGAGAAGAGACAAGACGTTGGGAAATGAGTGACAAACGGTGACTCACCAGTGACTCACGGATAACCCTACCCGGCCGCACCAGGGTCGGTAAGGAATCAAAACCCGTTTGCGACCTCTGCCGTCCCCTACACACCGTCAACCAGCGGCGTGAGAGAGCGAGCGGACGCCGCCACGTTCGGGGAACGGAGTAACAGGGGGAAGAGGAACCTGGCTTGTGAGGGAGCTGTGGAATGAAGAACGAAGGAAGAAAAGACAAAAGACACGATCTCGTCTGAGCGCATTTATTAGACATGTGTAGGACTCTTACTGACGCGA